GATTGTATTAAACTATTTAAACTTGAATTCAATAATATAATACCATTGTATAATAAAAACGATTCTAAGCGGAGACGGTTTGTCAGTCTGGATATTTTATATTGTTATTATTTATTATAGCCTGTAAGTTGAATTTATATTATTATAATATTATAATTTTTTATTAATTTCTATGGTGATAAACATTGTGTTAGAAATAAAAATCCCATTTTTAGCTGTTTTTCGTAATTTGTTGGTGGTTTTTCCTGTGGCATTAAATAACTATTAAGAAAATCGAAAAATTACCTCCTTAAAGTACCATCTTGATCCAATTTGCTAAAAGATAAGGTACTATAATATGTTGCAATAAAAGCACTCCTTCCGGTAGAAATTTTGTATACAGGATGAAAAAAAAAAAAAAAAAAACACCATTGTAAAACCACTATAGCTTGTTCGCTCCGCTCAGAATCTAATATATGTATGAACATATCAATTTGGCAATAATAACATTTCCCATTAAATGATTTTTCATCAGCTGCTTTATTGAAATTGTATTCATCAAACATTAACAGAAAATTAATCATTCCTAAAACATAGTATAACATGTATGTTAAAACAATAATTTTGTACTGAAGTATTTTAAGTTTGAACACAATATTTGGTTTTTGTTTTATTGTGTTCAATTTATTTAATGCAGTATTTACTTTTCATTTATTTATAAATTGTTAAACGTAAAGTCTAAATTTCAAAATAAACAAATATATCTTTTTTTTAATTCTAAAAGAATATATTTACTATATTATGTAAATTCTGTATTCAGGTGATACAATAATTAAATAAGTTATAATAAGGAATATACGATATGTTATCTTGGGCGAAGGAAGTGTGAAATATTTATTTAAAACAAAAGAATACACTAAGATTTATAACAGATTCAAAACGGCATGGCTCCTTAGTAGGCTAAAAAACCTCTCTAGGCAAATGCCTAGTCTGGCAGTCTGCCTATACGTTAATCCAGTCCGATAGGTAGGTATATATTTTATTTTAGTAAGTTAGTATGACAGCATAAACATTTTTAAAAAAAAAACTGTGCAAGACATTAAGGGTGCTCACAAAGTGTGTCAGAGTAATTATATATTTGTTTACAGTAGAACCCGTTTAAGACGCTCTCCTGGGGACCAGTTAAAACTAAAAAATAGCGTATTAAGCGGGAAATCATCTTCAACGGGTTCTACTGTATTTAATTTAATTTCATATAATACATATGAATACTGAACCCAATTGAAAAGTGTAATATGAGCCATGAGGGCCCATGAACTCTAAATATAATTATATTAAAATAACAGTTCTATTTAGTATTTGGTATTTATATGATTAAAATTAAATTATCTTACATCGATTACATATTATATAGTAATATACTAGCTCATAGCTGTCCCAACCGACGCGTGACGTTGTCCAGTCCAAAGATTTGTATTTTTAATAAATATACTTGTACAAAATGTATATACCATGTTTCTTCTAATTATAGTAATACTAAAATAATATGGAATGAATTGCAACCATTTAGATTGACAAAAAAAAATTTATTTTATTTTAGATTATGTGTGAATTTTTTTTATTAAATTTTTTTATTTATGTGTCTGTCATCACCTTCTAGGACAGTAAAAATGATTGGATTTTCTTCAACAGTATCTTTTCTGGTAGAATAGTGAATCTATTTGGTACTTTGGGGAGTCAAAATTAAACCTTCTCAGTAGTTTTTCAAAAGCGACGTGAAAAACAAAAGAAAAATTATGGAAAAACGGGAATTTTTACTCAAAATCTGTTTTCGAGACAATCGATTTTGGTTTTTGGTACAACTCTAAAACAAATGACCGTAGGTACATTCAATTTTGACTGAATGTTTATATTAGCATTTTCTATACACCATAATATTTTCCAAATATTTTGACTTATTTTGAGCTGTTTATGGATATTTTCAGTTTCCATTTTTTTTTAGTTTTTTTTTTCTATAAATATCAATAAAACTTTATTTGTTGGTTATAAAAGCTTGAAAATTTAATAAAAGGCACCTAGTATATTGTTTCAAAAGCAGATGAAATCCATAGTCACAATTTTTTTTATAAGCATTTAAAGTTCAAATATTGACAAAATACTTAAAAATTAAGACAGTTTGCAAATTATTTCGAGTTAGAAATTCATAAAAAATTTTCTTTTTAAATCTAAGATTTGAAAATGTAATACAAGATTATTCATAAGTTTGTCTATCTTTATTAAAAAAAAAATGTCTTCAAGCAAATCAAATTACATTTTTATGAGAGTTTGAATTTCATATTTTTATGAAATTGGATATTCACTCGATTTCTTAATTCTCATAAAGCGATTTTGTTATTTTGTTGTTATTTAAAAATGAATAACTGTAAATACATGAAAATTATACTGAATGTTAATATTTTTTTTAGAAGAATATGGGAGGTTTATCCCCCAATGGCACTTTTTTTTATATACATAATATTAGTACTGGGGGCACTACCTCGCAATTTATATTAAACATAATGAATAATATATAACAATCCACCGCCCTCAACAATCCAATGAAACGCAACGTGAATCCTGGGCGAATAGAAGATAAGGTCTGACAGGGGGTTGGCGTTTTTAATTACAAACTATATGAGCTTAAATAGCGTATAGGATGGTTCTCATGATTTGTATTACACTTTTCTCTATTTTGAATGTTCATTTGAGAAAATTGCAGTAAAATGAAATTATGACCACACTGTTTACTGGTTGTTTGTTTTAGAGGTACACAATTGTTTTCTCGAAAAGTAAAATAAAATGTTTATGGAAATATTTTTTTTATAAAATAATAGTGACGGTATTATGGGTATTGAGTTTGCTATACATAAAAAATGAACTTAAAAACATTGTTTTAAGTTCAAAGGAATACCAAAACTGGTAAAAATGTTCTTGATTATAATTTGGATAATATTATATTAATGAATGTAAAAATCATAAGAACTACACTGTATAGATTATAATATGATCCTTTTAAAAATTGTTTCGTTCGTAAAACATTGTCCCGTACTTATCACTTCTGCTGGTATGATGGCCTATTGCTGTTTATTATCGAAAATAAATACTTGAAAAAAATAACACTATATAACAATATGGTGTTCCTGACGATTCTGTTTACGGTTGATTAGAATTTATTAACATCGCCAAGTTTTCAAGCCAGTATTTAATATATTCAAATATTTAATGAATCCTTCACGTCGCTGCCCGTGACGAATTTAATGTCCGTTGATTTACCCCTTTTAAACTCTGTTAAATGTAAACTGCACGGATTTTGAACACGGTTATTTGACAAAATATAAACCGGTCATAAAGATTAATTGTTACGCATTTTATAACTAAATGTGTCTAAACACTTAAATAAAAATATATATCGTTGCATAAGAACCATCATTGGCCAATCTCAAAAAAGCGGGTAAGTGGATGTCGCTATGCTGTACAGTAGGTTACAAGTGGGTCATTGTATGATGGATTGTATTAAACTTGAATTCAATGATATATGTCATTGTATAAGAAAAACGATTCTGAGAGGAGACGGTTTGTCAGTCTGGATATTGTTATTATTTATTATATCATGTAAGTTGAATTTATATTATAATAGGTTATATTATTTTTTATTGATTTCTATGGTTGATAAACAAAGCCTTAGAAATTAAAATCCCATTTTTAGTGGTTTTTTGTAATTTTTCGGTCGTTTTTCCCTTGGCATTAAATAACTATTGATAAAATCGAAAAATGACCTCTCTAAGTACCATCTTGATCTAATTTTATAAAAGATAAGGTACTATATTATGTAGAAATCGAAACACTGCTTCTGGTAGAAATGTTGTATACAGGATACAAAAAAACAAAAAAATGAACACCATTGTAAAACCAATAGCTTCCTCGCTCCACTCAGAATCTAAAATTGAAATATGCCTTTTATATATCAATAGATTCGTATTTTCGAGACGCGTGAGACCAAGTGATTAGTTTTCCAATCTAAAAATATAGGAACTGCCACTATTAATAGAGAGCCGTCAGCAGCCAACAACTCGATGAAATTAGTATTACTAATATTATTATTATTATTGACAATACCTAAGATGAAACGTTTTAGAGTTAATTCATGTCAAAAGGTATACCAACATTCAAAATTTCTAACAAAAAAAACATTTTTTTGTTCACCCCGAAAAGTTGGGAAAACTGACATTGGCCATGATGGTTCTCATGCGACGATATAATATTTTAATACCAAAAAATATCCAATAGAAGTTTATATTATGTATATTATGTAGGTTTTTTTTACCATCTAAATAATCTGATATAGATAGTTGATAAAAATTGATTACAATAATATAATTTAAAAGATTTCACTGTTGTAAATTAATTATGCGCTATATCGAAAGCATTAGACGGGAATATAATACAATTTTGCAATAATCTTTGATATGAAAACATCACTAAGCTGATTTGCATCGTACCACTCGTACGTTGTTAATCATTCGACAGTATATTATAGAGTGTGAATATAAATTATTAATAATAATAACGTATTTTGCTTGGTAACAATAATATAACAATTTATAGTATATCGTCTGCACTATCCACGTAACGACCACCGTTTTTAATTTTAGCTGTATTTGATCGCGTGCGACCAAAATATCGTTCATTGCGCACCTATCATGGTCGTTAAACTGACGTCTTCGAAGCGATCGGCAGTGAAATGATTGTCGGTTGGCTGTAGCATGGTGATGTTCACGTTCATGGTGACCGACGATAACTGCGAAAAAGCTTTGGTACGCTGCACAGTGGTACAGAAACGTGGAGGCCTATCCTCAATAATCGGAATCGGTCTTGACCCGTCGTCTGGCGTGGCCAATATCGGATCAGTGGTACAGGCGATCACGATTACACAGACGGTGATGAAGAAGAGTCAGAAGACGAGACCAACGAAATGACTGAAGATGAGAGACGCTTCGTTTTCCAGCTTCGGCGCCGTCGTCCTCACGGGTGCAGCCAGGTGGAGCAGCGGTTCTTGTGGCTGCCGGCGGAAGCCGCTTCAAGTTTTCCGGACGCGACAAAGAAGAGTCAGACGAGTATACGACGAGACCGACGAAAAGTTTGAAGACGAAACGGAAAACCCTTCGTTGGTTGGATTAGGTTGCAACCGCGAGGACGACGGCGCCGCAGCTGGAGGAAGAAGCGTCTCCGGTCTCGTCGTCTGGCTATTTTTCGTCACCGTCGGTGTAATCGTCATCGCTTGTACCGCTGATCTGATATTGGCCACGTCTGACGCCGAGCAGTGATGATTCTGATTTGAGGATAAATGTTTGTGTACCATCGGCTTGGCCACGGTTTGGACAGCACCATGATACGGCCAGCCGACGACCATTTCACTGCCGATCGCTTCGAAGATGTCTGTTTACTGGCCATGACGGGTGCGTAATACAAGCAGGCGCAGATCTAGAACATATTTAGGGAGGGGCATCTCAAATAAAAGTTCAGCCAATGCATTTTATCGGCTGCCCCAAAAATAGATATAATAGAAAATTCACCAGTCTACGGGGGGGGGGGTCATGGCTCCTTGCCCCCTCCTCCCTTGGATCCACGAATGAATGAACGATTTGGTCGCACACGATATTATAAAGCAAAAATTAAAAAACGGTGGTCGTTCGCAGATAGTGCAGATGATAATATAGTAAATTATTAAATTATTGTTACTTTAAGCAAAATACGTTTTCTTCATACTCAAAAATACAGTCGAATGTTTAACCGTCGAGGTGTTTTCATTTCAAAAGTTATTGAAAAATCGTTAATTGTTATATTAATGTGCCCGTGTAATGTTTTTGATATAGAACCTAAATAATGATATATATTTAACACAGTGTAATCTTATAAATAATAATATTGTAATAAGTTTTGATCAACTATCTCTATATTAGATATTTAGATAATTTTAATATATAACGATTTAAATAATCGAATTTTATTACACGATTATGTTTCGGTTTAGCTCAATGTTTATAAGGAGTTCTGTATAGGCAATATTTAGGCAAAATCATGTGTAGGCTAAGTTTACACACTTTCATTCCATCAAACTAAATATAATGTCGTGATTTTGAGATTGAAAATGGATTTTTATGACCTAATATACTAACTTTCGATAACACCAACAACTCTTTTTATATTTTATCTACCTACAGAAGCGTAACTGTTCACCATTGAATAACTTGTAAATGTGCACAACGAGAAAGTCAAACGTTGATAAGTTTAAATCTAAATTTATCTTAGTAATATCTAAAGAAGACAAGACAAAAAATCTTTTAAAAATACTAATTGTGTAATTAGATCGATGAGTATACCTACATAATGCACCAAATGGATTATGAACTACTTACCACGCCGTGATATGTTTAGAATTCAGATACATTCATGAGCGTCCTTCCTACATTGCACAGAGGTTCTTTGAAAATTCATTGACTTAATAACTAGTTTCGTGCAAATGGCAATGAATCCTGAACATTTATTGTAGGTATAAATTAAGTGTGTAAATAAATGTAATGTCCATAACTCATAAGAATTTCTGTAATTCGATTAGGAACTTTTAAAATATGTGTACAGTTTTTCAATAAATTATATTTTTATTTTTACTTTTTATTGTCCAATACAATATCATTTGTTAATTTGTGTACAATGTTATGCACTTATGAAAAGAATTGTTCTTAATTTATATTACAATGACACATTTTAAGCCAATTTCAGATTTATAAAAATATGAAACACGATAATTTTCACATTTTGTTTGGTTGAGTTATTGTCTATTATAGTCGTGCGTTGTTCATATTAATTTTTAATCTTATATATATATATATATATATGAATGTAGTATACGTCTTATAGCTTTTCTATTCCATTACTATTTCACAAACTTTTCACTTGTACTTTTCTATTGATCTTCTTTAATACATATAGGGACAAATAAAATGTTACTGATACTTTGGTTTTTCGACGTAAAACTTTAAGTTAAATAATTTAAGGTAAATTGATTGATACTAAACTATATATAAGGGCAATAGTGCAATATATCCCACTATGAACGTATAAACTTCATAGTTCCTATAAGTTTTTAAAATATGAAGTTTATCATTTATAAATATAATATTAATACCTAATGATGTTGTATTGTCTGAACAAATGAAATATATATTTATGTTTAAACTTTAAATGTACCTATATAGTATTACTCCAACTGTTCAGATTGTATCAATTTGACCCAACTTAATTACTTATATTATTTTCCAATAAAATACTGTTATTTGTATTTTGTTATGGATACCTGCAGCACCTTATATTCATTAAGACCATACAAAAATAGTCTGAACACACAAACTTTATACATTTATATAAAGAATCTTCAAATTCCAATTAGATATGTGTTTCTTTTTCTCGTTAATACTAGACGTCTATCACTGTTTTCATATATGTTTTCCGTGTTACCAAATAAACAAACGAAGTAGGTACAACTACGTCATTCAACAATTTAACATCAATAGAAAATAACAAATTTTATAATAGGAAAACGACGTTGAGAAGCTTCTTTCAGTGACATGTGGACAGTATATTATTCATCATATTCGATACTGTTGATACAAATTTTAATATCATCTGCACTCGTACTTGCCGAATGTATAATTTGTATTTGATTTAGAAAGTATTGACCATGCATGGTTTGCATATTATTATAAACAAATATATTGAATGTCGCATTGCACTGTATTTGTTTCGTTTTTCATCGTTAGGTGGTTGTTAAATTCAAAATTGAATGAAAATTGAAGTGTGATATCCAATGAGATGCAAATAACGAAACATTCGGATATTTCAAATAATTTCCTTTATAATAATCATCATATGAATATATTATAATACAGTACTTAAAACTAGGGTTAGGTACACAATACAGTTCTATATGACATCATTATAATGTACATATTTCAAAAGTATCTTGTATCCCGTAAGTACAAATAAAAAAATTAAACAAGAAATACGCAGTAAGTACAACTAACCTACCTATCCTGCATTAGAAAAAATAAAAATATGGTTTATGTTTTCTGATTGCAATTGGAGCAATATCATCTGCCTATGTAATATTTCTATAATCGTTGAAAGTGGTATCTATAAATAAATAGACATGTACACATGAGGTCCTATATTTTTAGAAATTTTGTTCAATGATAAATTAAATTAAAATATTATTGAAATTACATACAAGATACAAACCTTACAAATATAAAAATGTTTCAATCAATATGGTTCTAACTTTTCTAAAAACTCGTAATATTTTAAAACTTTTAATGACCGAAATAATTATCACCGTATAAAATTTAAAAGGAGATGCATTGTTATTAATTTGACTACATTACATTTTTGCCTACCTGCTTCAAATATAATATTTATTTACATTTTATTTCCATGTCGTTGGAATAAAATATACACCTATATTTAAAGGGTATCGGAAATTCAGTTACAACTACGTAATTATTATGAATATAAATAAATGATAATTTTAATAAAACAAAATTGATTTCAAAAATAAATAATTATATTAATTATTAGCAAAAACAACTATTTTTAAAAATAATGTAATTCAGATTTTACAAAATCAATTGGGTTTTTTCTTCTTTGTCGCATTTCTTTATGTAATTAAGAATACCTATGGAAGAATATATATAATTATTTTAAATTATAGTCTATTTCCTATCCTTCAGTGAACCTGCGATTCTAATTGCAATGTAAATTTTTATCTGAACAGACATACGGTGTACATCCAGAAAATGGACAGACTCGATTAAGCACATATTTTATGAATTACATGAAGAAAACATTGCATCGTCATAAATATAAATGTCAAAATATTATCAGCATATTTGGTAGGTACATAATAATATAATATACATCAATGGCCCAATCACTCAATCGGTCTTTTATAAATGTAAAATTGTAGTGGTCTAGTTAGTATCCCTTTTTGAAAATAATTGCATTGTGGCCCAATTTCCGGGCGTCCGTCAAACTAACGGCCTTGTAGCCATAGCTAATTTCAATACACATCAAATAAGTCCATGTGTAATACAAATTAATAATTGCATAGAATAGAGAATACTTCCAAGTAAGTAAAATATTTAAATACTTTAAAATACACAAGAAAATGTTGACTTTAAACGTAGGTATTTTTTTTGGTAATAGGTATATAGGTACTTACTTAATTTAAAACTATTAACTAATACCTCTAATATCGATCTAACCTTACAATGTAAAAACTTTATGTTTGAAAAATTATCAATAAGTCTTTTAAATACATAGGTAATGTCTAGTAGAAGGCACATACTACATATTATATAATATTATTTAAATGTCCTATAAAATAACGTAAAGTAACTTAAATTATTTGTAAACGCACATACGTAATCTATAAATTATGAATGTGTTCATCTTATTATTTTGCTAACATTTATGCCTTATAGAGAGTTCCATTTATTTTTATGCTTATTGCATAAGAAATAATAAAATATTATATCTTAGGTATAACGTTATATTATATCATGCTTATATAGACGTTTACGCGTTTGGCTATTCTAATTTCTAGCAATAACCTGCTAATTTAAATTAATGCAAAACTAATTTTTATGTTTTTTTTTTATTTAGTGGAGGATTTGATTTTATAATATAAGAAACTTTCCGAAAATTTACTCTTAGCCAGATCTGTGAAATAATTAAAAAACACGCCTATGATCATGTTTGGCGTGAGTGATTGTAGGGAATCGGTGGTATAAACATAATTTTTGTATGGAGGAGATCAGAAAAAAGAAATTTAAACTTAGGTACCTGCAAATTAAAATAATGAATAAAAAATAAATAGATATTATTACATATTAATTCAAAACCACAAACAATTAAAGTTAAACAATAATAAAACAAAATTTAATTTAATTTTTTTTTAGTCACTTCATCAATTACTTCTACTACACTAATACTTAATAGTTATATACCTACTTATATGTAAAGGTATATTATGTGTATTGTCCATGGTAATACAAAATTGATAATATTTTAGTATAAGACTGATCAGTGCATTATATTATTTCTTAAAATGTTTTCTAATATAGGAAAATGTATCATTAGCGGATATGAAGGAGTCTACGTTGCAGCGTTGTTAAAGGGGACGGTCGGTCGGTCAAATTTTATACTGTAATAATTTATTACAGTATAGTAATAATATTATATTTATGAAATTAATGTATGATTATTGATA